ATAATATATAAAAAAATCTTTCCAATCAAAATGTTTCATATATAATTTTTTCATTCCTCAAAAATGAAAAATTATTCATGTTTTTGTATCAAGGTACTTTATGTTCTATGGATTATTTAATTTTTGATTTGGAGGTTAGGGAATTCTATGTACTTTTTCTGTAGAAAAAATTGTCTTAGTTAACGTACAGTTTAACATTTATTTATTCTTCAAGATATATCGAATTATTTTAAGTTCTTTTATTTCTAGGTTGTTCAAATTTTTAAGTAAGGTTAGAAAACTCTGCGCTCTTTAGGGATTTGAATTTTTCAGACATGGTTTCAGATGCTACATTTATATTTTTAATTATATAATTTAATATTTTAACGTGTTAATAAAAATCTAAATAAAAAAAAATTAATCGTAAGAAATCAATCTAAAGTTAAAGCGTTCAAAGTCTTCGAGATTCATAATACCTAGATTCATTAAGAATACGAGTATCATAAGTATGTTATATCGTTCTTTGATCCATTCTCACTTACAATTAGAATATTGTTCCACGATCGGTGATCGACCTATCAACATTATCTTTTTAATAAAATCGAGAGCATTCAATATAAATTCTTACTATTTGCTTTCATTATGGGTTCTCTCATGTCATTATATAATCACGTCTGAACATTTATATTAACTCGTCTAAATTCTTGTGTCTTGAGAGATGCGACATAGACTGATGTCGGTTTCACTATTTTAAATTGTCACTTGTCCGGAAACCTTTACTTGCAAATTATTTATTTAAACAAATTATATATATATATATTTGCATAAATTGTATTATTATATAAACAAAATGCAGTAAAAAATATTTATACACTACTATATTTATTATTACATGAAATATTATTATTTAATAATTAATTAATTTAATTCAATAATATTTTTACAATATTGTATGATTACAAATAAAACTATCTAAAGAAAATATTAAAGTCTGTAAAAAAATATTTCATTATAAAATAAAGATATCTTTTCTGCAATTTTTGAACGTAGGTTATTTATAGAGAATTCTCTTCTATTAATAAATAAATAAAGGAGAAGTATATTTAAGATAAAAGTATATCAAATAATTGAAGTTTATATCAGTTCTATCTTTATCACAATATTATGTTCTATTCGTTTTATCTAAAATTATAATAATAATCATTTATAACTAATAAATAAGAAATGATTTTTATATATTTTTGTTTAAAAAAAAAAGATTAAACATATATATTCGAGAAATCGTGTAATTCAAGAAATTTTCGAATTCAATTTTCTCTTAAAAATCTAATTTTTAAATGAAAAAAAAATTTATCCTACATTTATCCAAACAAGAATGAACTATTTTTAAAATTTTTAAAATTTGACTTAATTGACAAAATTTTATTCCATATTATCGTTTTATTTTAACCCCTCTGTTATAGAATCTTCCTAACCTATATTTCTGGTTACGTTTTAATTTCTCATTGTCCTCCATAAATCGAAAATTTTATTTAACGAATAAAACGACGTCCGTCCATTTTCGTCTAAGAAAATTTTCGAAAACACGGAATAACGGAGAAATCGCGTGCGAAGCAACACTGTGAACCAGTTTCGATGATCGTCTGTTAGCCTAGACGTAACGAACGTGCGACCTGGCCAATTAAATTCAATCGAAACTGAGTGAGCCGTGTCAATGTACAATCGTAACTCCACGTGGCTTCGATAGAGAAGCTATGCGATTACTAAGAAACCAAGAGTTCTCGAGAGATACGATTCAGCAGTGGCAATTATCCACCGAGAAGTCGTTTCACGCGACGAACGACGATGAACAATGAAAGTAGATTTTTCACATCGTCATCCAATTTCCAAAGATTGCGAAAGATCTGTCTGGTTTACGCGATATGAGATAAAACACGGTTTTATCATCGGTTAAATTTTTTAAATTGTAAAAACGTATAGAAGCTAAAGAAATTTTATGGAATTTATGAAATTTGTGTGAAGTTACATGAATCCGCTATAAAGTTTAAAATTTAATAACGAAAAAAGATTTGTTTGAAAGCTTCGATGTAATTAAAATAATTGGTAATTTTAAAGAAATAGTAAAAAAGAATTATTAAAGAAAAATACAGTTTTTTTTCTGATATAGGATTTATAGAAGCTTATATAAATGTTCGATAAATGTTATTGTAAAAATTGTTAATCTAGGTAATTAAGTAATAAAATATTTTTCCTGAACGTTGAATTTACGTGAGGATGTGAATGATAAAATAATAAAATTTTCTTTTCCAATTATTTATGAACTAGGATAAATATAATTAAAATAAAATTACTAAGCCATTAATTTGTTAACAAGAGATTGTTAATAATAATTTATTTTTTTTTCCAACGTTTATCAGAAAACTTTAACGGATGTAACTTTATGTAACTAATAAAAAAGAAAAATTGTTAAGCATGTAACTTGTATTTAACAATTGTGAAAATAATTAAAATAACATTTTTCTTCTAACGTAGAATTAATGAATAGTTCGATAATTTCAAAAATTGTTGAATTCAGTTTGTTAACCATTGGTATGTAATCTTAAAAATTGTATAATTTTAATAATAACTTATCAAGTTTGAAGTAAAAAAAATTTTTTTTTCTTCAAAATAAGATAAGAATTAAATATTTTTTTCTTTTTTTTTTCAAATTTCAACAATTCTAAGAGTTGAAAGTAACGTTACGTGTCATTTCAAAGTTGAAATTTTATCGGAAGGGCCAATTAATCACGAGCCAATGAATCACAATTTTTAAAAGAACCATTTCTCTAAATATAGCGATCGTAATTCACAGCCAATTAGAAGCCATTGATCCCTTGATTCGCTGAGCTAACCGCAAATTATATATATTATATATTATATATATTGTATATCTATACATATATATATATATATATATATATTGCACATAATGAAAATAGCTAGATATCCAATACAAGTCAATAACCTCTGGCAAACGGTCTAATATAATTTAGCAATATACTGTAATGTACAATAATACAATACTATACATAATATATAGACGGTTAATAACATAACCTCGTCCGTCAGCTTTAATATTACGTTCTTTTATTTAAATCATACCAGATATCAGAATAATTTGTCACAATTTGTGATAAATAATAAATTCTTTTTGTCGCTATATAAACAACAATGATATACGTATATTATTGAATATTGTCGTTCCTATCTAAGAATCAATTATGTTGTCAAGTTTATTGTTTTTCATCGTGCACGTTTTAACACTTAATTACTACCAATTAAAATCGAAATTAGCTTGTCTTTACAGGAACATTTGTTTCGAATGTTGAATGGAAACGAAGAGAGAGAGAGAGAGAGAGAGAGAGAGAGAGAGAGAGAGAGAGAGAGAGAGAGAGAGAGAGAGAGAGAGAGAGAGAGAGAGAGAGAGAGAGAGAGAGAGAG